AGTCATGGTCTGTCTACAAACTTAGAGTGCTCCTTGGAAACTCGCACTAAGAAGTGAAGAAGTGTCCAGAAGCCAGCCTCTGAATACCAAAAAGGAGCAAATCCCGACTAAAAGTAAGTCAAAATCTTACTTACGGTGTAATCCAGATGAGAGTTGAGCTTTAGTTATAGCTGCACCAAAGGTAAATGACACCTAATTGAAACTAAAAAAGGCGAGTAAAGCAAGGAGAACATGTTCCTTTTGTAACAACGATCACTGGAATAACGAATGCCAAAACTATCCAGGGACTAGAAAAACTGAAGAAAGAAAACGCTTGTCTAAATTGCGTGCAATCTGGACATGCTATTATCAAATGTAACAGAAGAAAGCATACATGCCTTCACTGTGAAGGTCCTCACAACATCGCGCTCTCTCAAGTTAAATACAAGGATTGCACAGGACCAGGAGAATAGACCGGATACCTTCAAAGCAATCAACATGTTAAGAGGAACGTGGGGTAATGTAAATAAAAAGGTTTTGTTCCATGTAGAAAGGTTGCAGTAATGGACCTGAATAATCCAGAAATAACGGAAAGAGCCATAATTTGTTTGATAGGGGCGCTCAACTAAGTTGCACCTCCAAAAGAATAGCCAATCGACAAAAATTAGAGGAAACTGGATATGATAGGATGAGAATCGCCCCTTCGGCGATAGAAATCCAAAACTATCCACTACGGCAAGGGATACTGATTGGAACAAAAACCATAGAAAACGATACTGTATCCATAGAACTCAATGTTGTAAACCATTTACAAACCCAGTACAGATAGTTACAATAAGTCAGTACGATACACCATTTTTATATCGAACCAATTTCCACTACACGAGGTAGATGAAAATTGGAGACAACCCGACCCACTCATCGCAATTGACAATTTCTTCAACTCCATCCAATTGGAAAAAACACAAACCATTGGATCAGGATTCATATTAGTACACCGCTAGTTGGCCCAATGATAGTAGGAAGCGAATGCTTACATAAATTTCCTAAAATCATCATTAACCAACTATGGGTGTCAGATGAAGCAATACCCTATCCTACATCAGAACACGGTTACAAGTACAAACATGTCAGCAGACATAAACAATTTCGGACTGTGTTTCGGTCATCTAAAATTATTGATCAGAAAAGTTCGATCCAATGAAAAACCATTACACAAGTACAACGAAACGATCCAAGAACAATTACAGTCCAAGTCATCGAAAAAATACGTCTAGAAAATGGGTCAGGTTGGCATTATCCATTACTTATCTCATCATGAAGTCTTGACACCAAGTAAGACAACAGACAGTCTCAAAATTGTTTACGACGCATCATCCCACATAAAGGGGCTGAAGAATTTGAATGACGTCTTACACCGCAGGCAGATAAATCTCCCCGATCTAGTAGGGATATTACTCCGCTTCGGAATGATGAAAAACGTAATAGTAGCCGATATTGAAAAGGCATTTTTACAACTGGAATTGCTCCCAACGGAAAGAAATTGTACTCGATTCCTGCGGTTAAAGAACATCACAGGACAGGTAACGGAAGGCAACATCGAATATTACCGATTCCAACAGTTCCATTCGGAGTAATATCCTCGCCCTTTTTACTGTCAGCCATTGATAGATACAATCAGTTGAAAGAACTCAGTGGGATGTTAACATAATCCATAATCTTTAAAGTCGCTCTTTTTTTAATTTTAAGGCAGTTCTACTATAACTTTTTTATAGAAAAATTCAGAATTCTTTACACATGATAGGCCGATCGAGTATCCATCGAAAGATGTGCGATCAATGGAATCAACGCCAGCACCTTTACCTTTATCTCACCTTTTCGCACTGTAAATAACTGTTCGAGAAATCGGTTCATTTTCAAAATGCAAGGAACAGTTTAAAATGTAAATTGTTTTTACCTTCATTTTGCACAAAGAGTAGAGTCTTTTTTTTTCAAAATTTAGCTCAATATGTATAATAACTGCTGCAAGTTAAACTATTGACGCATAATGACAGTGATAGTAATGATGATCACTTTTTGCTTCCACTTTTTTCCTTTCCTTCTATCAGTCCTACCTTCTAATGCTTGCTTTTCATCTGAAAAGCGTTGACGCACAAATTGGTCTAGCATGCGGAATGCAAGGTTCCTAAAATCTGGCTTAAAACAAAACGACCCAAATGTTGAGAATTAGTTTTGATTGAGTTGGTTTGAGATTGATTTGATTTGAATTGGTTGACTGTTTTTAATCGATCCGGATTGCTTGGATTGATTTGGATTTGATTCGTGGCACCAGAAGACTGTGTTGTGTATTTGGGAGAATGTCGTTGCGTTTAGGTTCAGGGAGTTTATTGGATTGATTGTATCCGATTGTCCCTTGAGTGTGTGTAAGTTGAGGGATAAATCCTTTATTAGAACAAATGGATGATGAAATAGTGATAAAATGCTGCCAACAACGTACAGCCAATTGATTGGGGTTTAAAAAAAATGATAGTCAAAACGATTTCGAAATGAATTTGATGTCGGAGTGAGATAGTGTCGAAGTATGATGAAATAAAGGAAGTGATGATCCCAAGATTGAGTGTTGGAAGAAGATGATGATGTGGTAACAAAGACAATGCTAATGACAATGAATGCTTGGATGAATGACCCTCTTGCCGTGTGATTGAATTATGATTAGTTAACATGTGTTAAGAATATGGGTTAAAATGGTGAAGGATAAAGCGACCAAAGGTTAAATTTGATAGTGGATAATTGGTGGTTAAAATGCATCGTAAGTCTTACACTAATAACTGACAGGAATTGATGACCAAAAATGAATTAAAGAAAACTTAAATTGATATGATTGATAATAGTATTGTCATGAAATAGCTTCGAGCTTGTTCTCGACACTAAATATCAAACAATTTCTGGTTGACTGTACGGGTAAATGCTGTATTTTGAAGTAGTCAAAAATAATTCTGACTATAATCACGGTAATGGAACTGCCAAAGTTTACATTGATTTCGAACAGATAAGCAGTGAGGAATTAGAAAACTAAAGGAGAAAATAATAGAAATTTAACTTAGATTTATTACCATTGTTTGTTTGCTGGAATATACGCAATCATCAGCTCCAAAAATTATTGTGCAGTGTCTTTCAACCTGCAACTTTCCAGGCCATCTAAATTCAGTGCTATAATACGAATATGCTAACAGTAATAACTTCATCACTTTTGACATCTGCCATTACAAACAAGAAAACAGTCAATGTGAGGCTATTTCTTATGTTAATAATATAAATTCGGGATATATCAGATCTGACCAATGTATCATTACGAATATTTCTATATGCAAATTATTTGATTTATAAAGATTACTGAATCTTCATTTATTTGATAAGTGACCATTACTTTTAGTTATCGGGATTTGCTAATACGTCCCAGTATAACCTTGTATGGTTTAAAAGAAAAAAAAGTAGAAATTATGATTCACCGATAGCAATTAGCTTCTAAAGTTAGATAACGTTAAATTTTTATTACGGGTAGAGATTTATGGCATTATATTTTCTATAAGTTGTCATCGTTAATTACCAGGTTGGGTGATAGATATTTGAATGATATATTAATATTTTTTCCATATTCACTCTTCTTTCACTTCCTTTGAAATTCTGTGGAAACTTTTTCTTTTAACATGAAAGTTTTCACTCAATTTTATTGGAGGAATGCGTACATTTTTTTGTTGGCATACTTTCAGGAAAATATATTTCCCACAGAATTATCATTCTTAGCGCAAACTCTTTAAATTGCTTTTTTTAAACATTGAAGTATTTGATGGTTTCATTTTTGTATATCAATATTGCATTCTTTAAATGACTATATTAGCATCCATTTCTTGAAATCCAAAGGTTTCATGCTTGTTGCCTGTTTAATTAAATATGTAATCGTCGAAATTTAATTGAATTTGTCATCGAATTATTGAATGACATCAATTAGTTTATTGAAATTAATTCAAGGAATAAGCTTTGTGTGCAATTCTGCCTTCGGAAGAAAAGTCTATCTATTGTCGCTACACACCACATCAATCAAATAGCAAAATAATACATTGATAAGTGAACAATAGTCTGGGTTTAAAATGTACTAACAATGAAATGACAAATTTTAATTTAGAAGATTCTCCGCTCCTAAACTTAAAACCACTGCAGTTGAGAAAAAGCATACTTCACAGGGATCAGCATTACAGCACACGGTTTCAGAATACAATATAAAATGACGTAGATACAATACAACGATAATAATAGTTACACAAAAGAGAACATGATCGAAGATATACAAATTTAATACCCGATGTATTTTTGCAGTTATTAGTTTGAAAAATTAAACTCACAGTTCTTAGTGATAAATGTACGACTCAATGTATGAACAATACATAAGGTACCAAATAAATAGTGGCCGGTATTTTAAAATCCGAATCTGTAAATTTTGTGGATTGATTAGATATAAGTAAAAAGAAAGAAGAGTGAGGAGAAAAAAATTACTCAAGCTCTGAAAAAAAATCATTGAAGAAATGTAGATCGCTTAGGGTAAGTCGTAATGTACTTGTCTAATTTACCGAAGTTTTTGAGTAAAAAAAAAAGAAGTGTTTTTCGTTGTTCAATCGAGAGTTGGTTCCTTTCGGAAAAAATTTTTCGTCAAAATCAAAAATAAGAACCAGTTATAACAAAAATGAAATGCATAGCTCAAAAACACTTCGGTAAATTAGACAAGTACATTATAACTTACCCTAAATGCAATGCTTTTACTAATCATGACAAACGATGAATAGAAAATTAAAAGTAACGGTATTCTCAATACTACCCCTTTGTTTCTCGAAAATTCCAATGCGCTTATGAAAATACCATCCTATCTAAACAATAGGGGCCAGAACAAATAGGTTCACAGCAGACTAAGGATAATTAATTTTTTCATAAAAATTGCACCTGAAGCTCCGTGTTGAACCCTTGATGCGCTATAATAGTATGATTGAGGCAGTAAGTGATAACATTAGGGTTAGTGTTGGCATGCTGACAGAAGTTCCTTTAGATTTTAGTTCTGGTTCAGGTAAAGAGCTTGGCTCATCATTTGTAACTTCTGGTTCTGGTTCAGCTTTCGGTTGTTTTTCATGATCCTGAGACTTTGGAATAGGCGCTACACTGCCATCGTCGATTGGATGTAAACCGATGACTAGGCCACCATGTCCATCTCCAAAACCTATAACTGAGGATGAAAACAAGAGAAACTTTTATTAATCAATGATAATGAAAGATCAATTTTTGCTTTCAGCTCGTGCATCTTTTGAACTGAGAATTATTTTTTCTCCTCTTTTAAACAAAGCTGTCCAATCATTCAACTTGTTGCATCTCTTATAACCGCGCAAGTGAAGATTGTGTATCACAAAATTCTTGATTTTAGCCTCTCGGTCCCAACCGCTAAACTATTCAATTCAATTAATTCACTTGTAAAGTTATCATGGTTCGTATTGCCTCGCCTAAAAGAGTTGATAATCTATAGAATTTTCCAGTAAAAGTATTCTAAATTTCAAAATTTCTAAAATTATACTCCACATTCACGCCTAGTTAATGCATCCTGATAAAGCAACATCATTTCTGAACGTTTGACTTTGAATCTTATCTAAACTGACAGCGTGATTTTTTGAAATTACAATTAATTAAGTACCGATCAATGTGCCAACTGAGACAAAGATAAATTGGAAGTTTTGGATCAACAAAGCAAATAAATTTCTACTAGTCAGAAAGTCATCAGATAAGGATTTTGACGTCTACTGGCAAAAATTGCAAAAAAGAAGCTTACCAGCATCAGCGGGGTTCCCGGGAACACAATTATAAGTACTTCCAATCCTCAAAGTATATAGTCCTTCCTTGCATTCACAGATATCATTTCGACACACCGAATCCAGCAAGCATTCCTTACCATTTGAACAGTCACTACCTAAATTTTTGATGCTTCCCAAGCTTCAAATTCTCACGATGTTATAAAATCATGGGAAAATACAAACCCGGAAATGCAAATTGATTTCCACTCAATATTTCCGATAACGAGTCTACACTAGTGGTGCTTTCTCGAAGTTTCGGTACTTCGGACCTAAATTTATATAAACTTTCATGATTATTCATTGCTGAGTTCTCTTTTGGGAATAACTTCTCGTTCTTCGAAAAAAATATTGTTGAAAAAGATATCAAAAGCAAAAAGGAAACGATACTCCGTAAATGGCTTTCCTAATCCATCCCATCCAATATAAGCATGCTCCTTAGTGTTTTGTTCTTCAAGCCAATTTATCAGAGGTTGATAATATTCCAACATAGCACTTGCATCAACTTCTTTACTACCTGTTATTTTTTTTCAATTACAGAAACATATTCAACATTCATTGCAATTCTTACATAGGAAGCATTTCCAGAAACAATAACAATACGGGAAGAACACGTTAGAGGATAAAAATATTATTGTAAAGAAAACGAATTATCACCATACTATACCATCTTACTAACTGGTCTTTTGTGTTTAGTGTCCGTTTGTATCAGAGACAGAGAAGCCTGTGAGGCTTCATACACTGATGCACAGTGATATGAGATGTAAAGTGATTTAAGCTGTATGGTAATCATGATACGCACCAAATTAACCAGTTAGTGCATGCTAATTCCAGGCTACTGTAATTCGCGGTCCCCACAAATTAATGATTTCATGAATCGTAACATTATCTTTGGAAATTACTTGTTCTGGTATCGCTTTAAACAATTTTTCCACTTTTGAAAGCCTTTTAATATAAATATAGAACCTGTAATAATTTCCAGTGCTTCTCGCCAAGTAATTGAGGAACCAAGCACCATCACCTTTTTGATATTTTCAGTGACTGCGTTACGTTCTAACATACATCCATTGCTCTGAAATATCTTTATTTCATTCTTATCATTAGCATTAACTGAGAAGCGATTTTTGTTCCTCGATTTTTGCAATCAAATTATAATTTATCCCTGTAATTTAGTCCAATTAATCTTGCTCCAATTTTGTCGAATTTAATTCAACTAGAGTTAGCTCCCAGCATAAATCAATCGACTTAGTTCAAGTTTGAAGTTTGAACTCTACCAAATTTGTAGTACCACGACACAGGGCTTTTAAGATTTGAAACTGCATTATATATGCAAAAAAGTGTTTCATTGCTGGAGCATGCGTTTGAGCAATGGTAGAGAATGCAATGGCGTCGAAATCAGTTGATTTTCGTTCCACAGGCGACTTGATCCCTTGGAGTAATTCACTGAAAAGTGATTTTATTAAGAATTTACTGTAAATAATAGGCTGGAATTTTTCAATACTTATCTTTGCCTCTTTACACTAAAAACTGTGATAATTGAATTTAAAAGTTATTATAATCTGTTTAACGAGTGGTTGATATTTTATCGTATATTTTCCAATTTCCCAATTTAAAAGCAAACAGCTTGCCTTAATTGCCACCAATCAGAGTTCCATGTAGTATTTGTTGAAGTGCCATCAAATATATGAAATCGCCACATATCAACTGCGAAGTCAAAAGGCAATTTGACGAAATCTTCAAGTGCTTCCAGATACAAACGATTAATACTTTTTGAGCGGCTAAACCCAGTTTCAGATGTTATTAGTTTCTGCAAATTTTCGAAAGATTTAAAAACAAATAAGTGAAAGTCTTTATGCGTATTTCTAGTATTCCTATGCGGAAAAGAATGAGTAATCGCTTAAATATATGCCACTCAAAAAGTTTTAAATTTCTCAAATAGTAATTACCATCATTTTCAAATATTCTACATTTCGAGCATTAATTGCGAAAGCATTAGTGACAGCAGTCAACAGGCTTGGATTTGTTGCTTCGCGAAACAGAAGTGGCTGCTCACGATACATGTAATAATAGTATATGTGGACAAGCAATTTATGGGTTAATTCAAAATCGGGTAAAGTAAGATGCGCACACGCCTTTACCCTGAAAACTGAAAAATTTTGTACTTATTTGAACACAATGGCCAGAAGAAGTGAAAATAGTAAAAATTCTATAGAAAGCATGTGCCCATGTCACACTAATCAATTTAGGACAACAATTTTCCAGAATAACCTTTTCTTTTCTTCTAATTGTAATTTTAAGTTCATAAATTCATAAATAAAAAATTAAAATCTGGACCTGTAATCAAGCTCATTCCTCATATCATAGGCTGCAGGTGGATGACAAAGCATATCTTTGCTCCATGTCCTCGTAAAAATTGATTTCGTCCAAAAACTTGGTGGCAATTTGTCAAACCCAAGTTGCTTGAGAGTTTTGTACGTCTGTAAATTGTGGTTCGAACTTCTTTAATTATCATATGATCAAGAAATTCTCAAATTTACTTTTGATATCTTTTTTCTTCCTAAATCCTCGCTTACAAAAATCATTTCCGATATTTCAGTACCTGTTTGAACATGCTTTTCACAGTATAGTTTAGTTTCTGGAGGTTTTCCTGGACTTCTCTTGCAAGATCGTCTTCGTCCTCGAATGGTTTCGTATCCTGATAGAAGGCAATCCAATTATCACCAGCAATGCTCTCTGCAAGTACTCAAACCATAGTCGAATAATTTTGCAAAGTTTTTAAATGAATTATCTAAAATAGTTTAAAAAACATTAGCACATATAACAACTGCTAAGGCCATATACTACTAGAAAAAATTATAAAGCAAGCATACTGAGCAAATGAGCAGGGATAGGACCATCTCGCGTTAGATTAGACACGTTTGTTAACCCGTACAGAGCAGGTATTTGACGTCTTATATATGCGTGTAGCTGAAATTTCAACATTTTTTATATTACTTAAAAATTGCCTTATATAAGCTATTGCAACTGTCAAAATAGATGCTACCGATAACAGCACACAATAATTTCTTTGTTTTCACGAAAACAAAATTGTCAACCTGTTTATAAAATGGACTAATTTGTTGGTACAACTTCTGCAAAAGAGCGACAGTGTCACTTTGCTCCGCTTTTTCATGACGTGACGTGAATTGTTCGTAAGGGCTACGCCACATCGTTCCACCATCCGAAAAACCATTCAATTTAGCTCCTGAAAACTTGAGTATTACAATAAAAAGTTTTTCAAGTGCCAAAAAATTCAAGATTTAGAAGACTAAAAACTTAGAGTACTTCATTAATTTCTGAAACTGAGAAATACCTTTATTAGTCAAGTCAATGAGACGTTTGTATGAGACAGCTAGTTTCGGTCCAAGTGCATCACGCAGTGCGACCCAAAGACGAAATGCTTTAGAAGCATCATTTTCATGTGCAATAATTGACACAATATCGGAAACTCTTGAAATAGAAATATGTTTTCAAAGCTGTGGTAGATTTTTTCTGACAAACTTGAAAATTTTCATACTTATTTCAACTTGAAATAGTACCATAAAACTGCATTACTGAATGGTAAATTGGAGACATTTTATGCCTCTAAGGAGTAAAACTTTTGAGTTAACGGATCAACAATTTAATGTTAAACACTATTAATTAATTTTAAAATCTTCCCTCCTCTGATTTCTTTCTCGTTCTGAAATGACATTAAGTTGGAAGATAAAATTGCTTTAAAAAAAACAGCAGCAATTTTTCCGAAGCGTTCTTTTTAATCATAATTTTCGGAAAACTTCAAGATTTCGAATTTTTTTTTTAATTTATTGATCATAGAAAAAAACATATTAAACAAATAAACCTGTAAGGACATATCGTTGCATTGCCCGTTTCACAAACTGAAGTTTCAGCGTATGCTTTCGCTATCTGAAACAAATGCATAAGGATCTTATGATAAGAATGAAAAACGAAAGAGTTGATAAAAATAGTCTAACCAGCTTCTGAAGTTCATTATATTCTTTGAAATCGTTTTCATCCAAGGCACTGATACCTTCTACCAAAAGGAGCTCAAATTGTCGTTTCAGCGATTTGTCCTCAATTGCTACTATATCAAATTGCTTCGCTTGCTTCGAGCTACTTTTCACAAATTTTCCTAGGGTCTGGAATTTAAAACAGATAAATTAGTCAACGGAATAGCAACATCCATTTATTTCCTACAACCTTATCTTGGAGTTTCTGAACATTGTCACTTTGAATTATTTGACTGCGACAAATTCAACTTACAGGCAATTGCACAATTTTTAACTGTCAAAATTTTTCAAAATTTGAAGTAACTTGAATCACAAGCAAACCTCCTCAGCTTCGTCAAGAAGCTGTTTAGTAAGATGCGATACTGATGTGACATAATTCCATCCGGCTAAAGCTACTTCGCGCAATACTTTCTGTGCCTCAACTGCGTATCCATTCATCCATTCCTGGGCTTTCTTACTATCTCGTATCGAGCCTTCAGGCTAAAAATTACCAAATGAGACTTGCACTAATTTATTGATGATATATAGCTTTGATTGATATCAAACACTATAATCACGAAAATTCTAGATTTACCAATACCAGAAAATTCAACAGTTGAGTTTCTTCAAATACCTCCCTCCGAAAAGAAAAGTACGAGAAGAATGAAAGAACCTCCAAGTTATTTACATCCCAGTATTTACTTGAATTGATCAGTTTCAAAGCTTCTTTGTTGATCTTCTCCTCCTTCCCATCGTCAGCGGCGTCACTATTCAAGAAACGATTAACAAGTTCTTCGATAGCTTCATTATCAATGGCACCTGGTTTCGACTACAAATTTAGGCTTACAATTTTTTTTTCCGAACAACTTTAAAAAATGAAAATTGAATCTAAACCACATTCTTCTTTACAAGAAAGCAAAAGCAAGCTAGAATAACAACTTTCAAAAACTTTTTATGGTGATGGTATAGGTGATGAAACAAAACTCACAGAATCCGCGTTACTACTATCATCTTCTTCGTCAATCCGTTCAGCATCATCCTCGAAAGCATTATTTTGATATGATGGCGTAGGGCTAGCACTGCTTACTTTAACTGAACTAGATTCTTTAAGCGGTCGAGAATCTTCAGCACGAACTTTAAGTTGTGCGACTTCAGCTGATTGCATAGGTAAGTGGGAAGAACCATCAGCAAACTGTCTAGCAATTTTGGCAGTGGTAATTAGCATAGGTTGATGATGAGATTCTGGTTCAGGAGTAGTGGGATGAAAGCTTGGCGATGCCGTGATTTCTGATTCAGGTTTTGAATTTGGTTGGGACAAAAACTTTGTAGAATGACTTTGGGATGGTACAATACCTAATAAAACGGGTTGCTTAGCAATGGAATAAGTATGGCGAACGTTTTTTGCTTCCGCTGCTGCTATCATTGATGCTTCATTCACCGTACTTTGTGTCAACGTAGGCCATATTGCAGAATTTCTGGATGATGTCACATCACTTTCCAGTGTTGATATGCCAATTTCTTTTCTAAACTCATTTTGTCCAGATGAGTTACCTCCTTCTTGAGCATAGATACGAAACAGAAGCACTGATGTTATTAGCTGCTGTATCAGTAATTCCCTTCTTATCATACTGAAATTAACGTATTATCAACTGTTCATTCCATTATTCTCAAACTTTGATGGCACGAAATCAATGAATGAAGATCATTGGTAAGAAGGAAGTTCCGAATGTGTGATGATATTTTGTAAAATTAATGCATTACACCGTTTATTTGCTGTTACAATATTTCAACAACGTCTTATAAATGGACAACTATTGGAGCAGAACTGCATGAATCCTTCCTTTTTTTAATCATAAAAAATGCTCAAAAGACGTATGGTTCATAAGAAATAATTTGATTAAATAAATATATTTTCAATACATACAAAAAATCATAAATTTTCAGTGGTTTTCAAAGTGATGACGAATAATTATTATATTTTGTTAAGATGAGTATGGGTAAGAGGAAAAAAAAAGTCAGTATTCGCCATCACAAATCAATCAACATTTGAGTAAAGTGTTGCATAAAAAAGAATGAAATAGAATAGTTTAAGTTTAAAAGGCGTCACTCGACTATTTATTTTGATAACACAACTCCAAAAATTATGAAAATTCAATATAAAATACAATTTTTATCATCGTTAGGTATGACGTCAATGGGGCTTAAATTAAGAAGGAAATCAGATGCAAGATTTAATTAAAACTTCTCAAAGTTCTAAATAAAAACTTTCATTCATCGAAACTAATTAACTCGAAGTATTCGACGGAAATAGGAGGGTGGTTAAGTGAACCAGAATGAATCTCCGAAAAATGCGGATGGGTGGAAGAGATTTAAAGATTTCTTTCTACCTATTAAGGATGCCGTCACCTTTTTTCTTGTTGCCTTTAGATCAAGTTTTGAAGGTGCTAAAAAGAAGAGGAGAAAAATGATGCTATCAAATATTAGGATTAAGGCAAAAAAGGAAGTAAATATGAAGAAGGGATTGGATAGTCAGTAAGAAAAGGAAATACGTTGGAAAGTTGGTTTGTGGTTGGCTAAAGATTTATGTTCCCTCAGTTCGATCGAGAAAATTCCAGATGATATCAGTACTCCTCAATCGTAAATAGATTATTTCTGCAGAACAGTCTGATACGGTAGTGATAACATATCTGACAAGAATTTCGAAACTAGCTTGCTAGTAGTGCCAAATAACTACATTTTTTTATTAATGGGAATTGTTTTTACTGGATATGTTTTGATTTGGAGGCAGATGAATTATTAAGCTGCTTTTTTTAAAAAAAAAAAGTATTTCAAGTGAAAAGACAGATATAGTTTGAATACAGATTTCAGATAAAGACATAAAAATTAAAAAATACACATTCAGAATGTATTTCATGAAAATCTAAATATTTTACTAATAAAGATGATTGATATTGCTGATAATGAGATAGATAACGTTTTCAAAGTTGGCATTTTTTGCTATTAAAGGCAATAAAGGAACCACTAAGCAGATGTAAGAAAAACGATAATGACAATGGTAGCAATAACCGCAGGGATAAGAATGACGGGAATAAGAAGACAAGAAGAGAAGTACCGCAAGTTGAATGCTCGAAAGAGATCGCGCAGGAAAATTCTTGAAAATTTACATGCAAAGAAAAAAGGAAATAAACGAGAAATGTGTAGTGGAGCGGTATGGCGATAGACGTATGTATTTATGCAGCGAAAGTAATATCAATAAATCATGCCACTGGGTGATGTGATGGTGCAGGTATGGTTATACCACCACCTTCTTCCATGCCGCACTCCACCTACTCTTCTCCGGGGTGATCGACCTGATTCGGAAGTCAGCCTACGATCAGTTGTTTGGTGACAACCTCTTCTCATTCTCATTCAATCGCACACCGGTTAGTTCTTGTTTCGATCCCGGTCTACTTCGAAAGGTTCTTCTACAACTCTATCGGCGATGACGACCCAAATTTCAATGTGCGCCGCACACAATCCACTGTCCAGTAATTTGTTGCAGCCTTTTGGATTTCAATCGAGCTCCTTGCAAACATGTTTGAAGACAAAAATAAGACAAAAGCTCAGCAGTTCACTCCACTGTTATATTGACATCATCACTCGTCTTCGTATTTTTCTATGTCAACAGCGGGATGATGTGAAGATGCTTCTTGACCAATAGCAGGAAATGAGTTACCTAAACCCGTATCGATCAATTGTCGTGTTATCTGAACAGCAACCGGTATTTACTTTAAATTACTATTACAGGTAACCCGGATCTATACTTGAATATTTTTCAGTTCCACTTATCTAACAGCACCCCTTTAAACCCGAAGTATTTTGCATCGATGGACCGAAAGCAATATAAGCAACAAAGGAGAAGGAAACGTTTCTAAAACAACGATTACTTGAACGCAAACGAATCATTTAAGTTTTTTTTAAAAAATTCGAGTTTCATTTCTTGTGCAGAAAATACCGCAGATGCAGGAAGTGAGAAGATTCTACAGAGTGCATGCAGATTGCAAACACACGAAAAATAAAGGAATTTGTGCGTTGCATTCTAATGTGACTCTGTCAGTTCTGAAATATTACCAAAAAAGACTGATATATATTTCAAAGAATTCAGTGATGAAATCTCACTGATGTTACCAAAACGCAACCGACGTGTGACAGCGATTGAAAGATTACAAGAATGACATGACAACAACGAATGGCAACACCTGCGGGCGCATTTAGAAACGTCTAACTGGTCATTTGTCGTCCATCAGATCAACCATTCATTCAAGCACTCTCTCTCGCCATTTCCCCCACACCATCCCAGCAATGTACATTCCGTTCAGCTTTCTTTGCAAATCAACGATGCACATTATGCCACGATTCAATATTCATAACCTGATATTGCAGACCGGATAAACCGGTAGCTTCAGAACTAAACTATTATTGAGAAAGTTACATGTCAAAGGAAAATTAGGCATTTGAGTTGTGCAAGTATCATTTTTTAGCCTAAGATGCTTTGGGACTGCTAATGAAAAGACAAAATTCAAAACATATTTTTCAGCAGCTACAGTTCACCAATTTTGAATTGGCACATGAATCCCAGTATTTCCGAACATAGAAGTACTCGAAGAGTGTTGTTCAATTGTAAAGTGCCTATTATTTTTGGAATTTGATAAAATCATCTGAAAGTCTGTTAATTTTTGCTGGCAGATTTTCTAAACCATTAATTCCATCTTCTGAAATTTGTGAAAAAAGTGATCGTGTTAACAAATATAAAGATTTATTCAGGAATAGGCATTCTGGATTTCTGTAGTTTCCCATCCCCTCCAAGCTGGGACTAAAAATTTTTTTAATCCGTAGATGAAATATAGAAACTCGAAAGAATTTAGTAAAAATTTTGAAACCAGTAAAGTTGCTATCATCTTTTTTCACTCTCATGGATTTTATTGATGAAAACAATTTTTGAAAAAATTGGAGTGGAAAATGAATACAAATGAACGGAAATGAACAGCAATTCTACTATAATCAACGGAATGAATGCATTTTTCACTCGCATTTCGGAAATCTTTACAACTGTTGATGAATTTCGTTGCGTTTTAATCCTATTGTACTTGAAGAACTTGCCTTAAAAACAGGCTTTTTATAAAAAACAGGAATAAATTCAAAATCATTTTTTATTAGAGATGAGCTGCCTTTTCTTAATGTTCTTGTTCGCTTTAAAATAAATAGGTTACAGAGTTTGTATCTAAGGATTCTGTACTTAACTGCTTTAATAACCTTATATTCATAAGATATCCTTATCAAGCTAGTGATTCGACTTAAAAAAGGAATACTTTCGAGTAAATATCCGAACTTTCCGTAGTTGAAGTTACTACCGTGAAGAAATTAAGCAGAATGTGTTAAGCGTACAGTAATGTATGACCAATTGTTTTTTGGAACGACTAATCCCTACAAAACCAGAATTGGCTGCTAGTTGCTATGTCGGTTACCGTTGGAATAAATTAATGCAGTAACCATCTATATTAAAATTGTGTCTTAACAATGATATTGCGCAGCATGATAAGGAAGCACTTATCAACTTAAATAACATTCGCTAAAAGGAGGTTGCAATTATCATCTTTATTACTGTTACAGAACAATTTTTTGCGTTATTTAAAAGTTAATTTAAAACTGTTCAATTTTTCTCCTCTCTCAGATAACAGGATCGATTATAGAAAAGTTTATAGACGAAGATAAATTCTTAAACGTCCTCACCCGCAATTACCATTTAGGCAAGAATTGCGAGTTAAGCATAACACATTGTCGAACAATATCTTTTTGAAAGCAATTCGGAAATCTCTGTTTAAAATCGTATAAATGATTGGATTCGCTGTAGAATTTGCATAACCTAACCATGTAACAACCTGAAACACAAACAACATGCTCCATAACAATACGGATATTATGCAAAAACTACATTTCCTTCTGATCGGAATCCTCAAAAAACCGAGTCGATACTGTTTTCTGAATTGCAGCAAAACGAATACATCAACATTTACTGAAATTTCTTAACAATAAAGTGAAAAAAGTCTAACTGCTTAAATTTTAGAAAAATTGGAAATGAATCAAAAAAGTGAGCTCGAATTATTTACCTTGAATTGCACATCGGATATCGAAGTTGGAAGAAAGGAACGAATGACATTTACAATGAAGAATGGCAGCCAGCATATCAGAAATGTACCCATTATTACTCCCAGTGTAAGCCTTGAAATTAAAATCTGTTTCGAAAGAAATTTCAAAAATTAGTTCTATGCGAAATTTAGAATCGGATTGGTCCTGGAAATTTAAAGCAATAATTGCGGGACTCGAAGGACTTAAAAAAATTTCTGTTAAGACTGTAATAAAGACTGAGATCAGAAAAAATAAAACTGGTTCTCAATAGAAATATAAATAGAGACAATGCGATGATCAACGTGGGTATATGTACCCTTAGGATGATGATTAAAAAACTTTTGTGCTAATAATGGATGAGAAAATCCCGAATTCAAACCAAGACAAATGGTAATAAACTTATACAGAATTGAAATGAGCCTACAATTGAAAATGGTGGTGATATGATAAAGCTGTAGGACTGAAGTAGAAATAGGTCGGTACCAAAGGTAAGCAAGTTTTGGGATAAGATCAAAGATATCAAACATCACGTCTCCATTTCAATAAATAAGTTTAACCTGGCTTTCTGATCAGTGATACAAAGCTGTGATGACGCATTTTTCAGGTTGACTCGTTCCGATATTGTAGGATCAGTCTTGTGACAACAACAACATATTGCCATTATTCTATCATAGAAAAATCCAACATTAGTATTCTGAAAACTTCTCTTTTACATTTGTGACATCATTGCTATTCCTCTGAATGTTCACACTGTCGTGAAGATAGAAATTGTCGTTAACTGATTTATCAAATAAGTGTTTTACAATTGCTGCTATGAGACTTTGAATAGCAGAATGCCTCAAAAGGAAGCAGCAAGTAAATATCAATGGACCTTATGAAGAATTCCAAGTAAAATTTTAAATTTAAGGACTAAAAATTATAAGAATTATCTTGCGAATCTTCGCATTTTGAAAATGAAAAAAAAAGATAAGTCAGTTCAAGTATTATTATGCCATTATGTTATGAATGATTGCTTTGCAACTTAAATGTATTCTCTTTTTGGAATTTTCAGGAATGATATGAAATGTTATTTGGCAATAAAACAGTCAAAAGCGACAAGTGGAATTTCAAAAACGTGTAGCTGATGGTTGCAAAGCTCTCATATCTTCTGATTGTTATTTATAACATCTGATGAATCCTCAGCTTGCGCTTTCTAGTAAAACATTTGGCAAATATTCACATAAATGTTTGTTTCCTTACCACTTTGTTTAGACTATTTAAGACAGTAAAGAATCCTTCTCATTGAGGCATTTTTTTTCAGTCAAATATTATCAATGCATCAAGTAGGTGCATTTAGCTGCAGATCGTTTAAACAAGAAAAATCAAATACTATGAATTAATTCAGTTAACATCAAATTAATACTGTTGATATGATGTTAACTGAGATAAAAGTAAAAAGTTTGGTAAATTAATATATGCCTATTAATACTTATCATACGGAACTAAAGATGATTGAAAGTAAAATTCTACTGAAAATTTAAAAAGGATACATTTTGAATTACTTGAGAAGTATTCAGTGTTGCAGGAAAGTTGACTACTTGCTGAAGTTGGGTACGCATTATTTTGGCATGTTTCCTGGCGAACAAATAGAGACGGGTGTACAGAAGCACCATCATTGCCGCGGGGATAACAAAACTGCACATTGAACTGCCCAATGCATACAGTGGCTTAAGCCGTAGTTCACATCTCGGATGGGAACTGAAACTGGCTTGAAGCGAGACCTTTAATTCAAACAATTTAGTGGATTTATTTTCATCTCCAATAATTTAAAGCATATATTTAGACAAGAAGGAGAAAACTTACTCATTGTACCTGGTCTCATTAACTTCATTCTTGTCACCAATTCCTTCCCTTTGTGCTAATTCCAGGATAATTTGCATGAAACCAATGATGGCAGATATCAGCCAAACAAAAGCTATAACGATGCATATTTTTCGCCTCCTGAAGCCTTGGCACATACGGGAAGTATATCACAATGCACCATAATTAACAGAGTCCAATAGAAACCGGAACTTTGGAGAAATCAGCCTGTCCTACAAAACTCTAAATCCCAGCCTCAAGGTCCTCCTTCTCCATCATAGCATTCATGAATTCTCAACAATTAGTTGCTATATCTTACTAATTGTCTCATTAATTATAGAATGAATCACTTTAACAATTACTTTAAATAAACCTTTTTGAGCTCGTATATAACCAACCAACAACAAAATAGATTTTTATATTGCTGTTTCAGAAGGTCTCTGAGACCAAGGTGAAAATCTCGATCTTTAGTCGGAACTCTCTGTATGCTTTTATATTCCTGTGTTCTGCTCATACAAGAAAAGGAAGAAAGTCACACTCTGTAATAAGCTATTCTAAAGCCCTTCCCCCTCTCGCAAAATTTGCTTTTTCTGCAGACAACAAAAGGAGTTAACAGTACAAAACAACTCGAACATCTATCAGTACATCATTTTTCTGTCACCTCAAAAATTTCCAGTAACACTTAGACATGAATTGCGAAAGAGCGACACCTGACATAAACAAGTGGACGACTGATATGCAAAAATCTATGCAAGGCAATTGCAGAAAGGTTGAGTATCGAAGCAGTGGTACTAGTAATATCGAAGCATATCCAAAGTTGACAGTATAAACGACCAAATGGCCAATGTCCAAGAATATCATTGAATGCTGCGAATGACATCACCTGTTAGGAAGGTCGCTATTAATCAAAAAGAAATTTTTTCTAAAATTTTCCAAACTTACAAAAAAATAGCTATCTTGAGATACAGTTAACTTTTAGGCTAACAAACTTACAAGCAAGGATACAAGAAGATCGGATACAGCAAGCGATACCAGGAATAAATTTTCCTGTTGTCGTCGTAAAACTCGATCGCAAAATACAGCGACACATACCAACAAATTACCACCCAGTGCAATCAATATGATAGCAGTGTAAATAAGCAATAAAATACTCGCAGTTGAGAGCACAGTCAACATTTTATTGAACAACTGATCAGATAAAATCCACGATATTTTATTCCATCCGAAAATTCAAAAAACCATTGAGGAAGTTGGTTGCTTAAACACCTTTTTCATGAAATATTAAATGCCATGAAATAATATTTAAAAATACTCTTACGTCTCACAAAAGCTATAGCAATATCATACTAGACCTGGCGATTTTGTTACGATTCCACAGCTCATACATTTAGCCATACAATTTTTCAACCAGAATAAATTTAATGTATAGGTCATCTAAGGCTGAGGTAGTTCCCTCAGCAAATAACGGTAGTTCTTTCAATTCGTCCTTTCTTCTGTCTCGGGCTTTTCCCACAGGCGTAACAGAGTTTAATACTTTCTTCGGAGAGTTTAACATCTAAGACCAATCATCTTACTGAACACCCGGTTAACGGATTATGCACTAAAAAATCCCAAATTCTCTTCCTGCTTAGGTAAGATATACAAGCTGTATGTACGAAAAGCTGTATCCGTCTACTTCTATTTAATAGAACAGCTGAGCGGTGCTTTGAAAATGACCCGTTTTGCAGAAGTTGCACTGCACTAAGGCTTGATAGATTTTTTTTTAGCAGTGCTTCGGATTTTGGTGATAGTCAAAGATAAGAGCAGAAGCAACTGCGCAAAAAAAAGATCTGATATGTTTACAAAAAAATTTGATTAAGCCAAGAAAGCCAGCATACGTTTGTTAAAATGATCTAAGATATTTTGTAAGATGCGACAGATAAGAACAATCCAAAACTTGAATAATGATGATTTCCCTGAATATGGTCATATACAAAAACAGATATTTAAAAATATCTGTAAACATTCAAATAGTAGAAAATGACGATATTTTTTGACTACCCAAGTTATTGTCATCTTATTAACTACCTGCATTATTTTTGCCTCCGACTTTTTTCATAAAGTTGACATTTTTACTCGATGGATATTCCAGGAATAATAAAATAATAAACTAATTCATTCATTCATCTATTAATCGTACGACATATTGTAAATCATTAAATTTCGCATAACATTCGACATACTAAAAGTGAGTAGAAATCAAAAAAGTAAAGCCAATTATTTATATTAGGTTATCATTTGAAACTACTACTAAATCACGTTTCCAAGAAAAATCCTTTTTGTTAAATCTTTAAACACAATAGAAAGCCCAACAGATGTCGTTGAAATGATAAGCATCAATTTGCATATTATTCGTTGAGATAAAATAGTTTGTCTCAATTAAGTTAAATAATTAAGATACGATCAGCTGCTGACATCACTGAGTTTAGTTGTCTCAATTAAGTTAAAGTAAGCATATGCAATAACAAAAAAAGCAATAAAAACCGGTCTCATAGACTGACCTAAACGCACATTTTGTAGGTGATTGGATGATAACCAAATGGGTAACTTGCAACGTTGTAAATAATTTATTCACAAGACTAACTTTTTTAGCTGAACTCCAAAACTAATTTATCAAAATTTTAAGTTTCATTTTCAAGCCATATCGACTGCCTTTATATTCCTCAACTGGTCTAAAATTTTGGCATGAATCTGATCGAGAAATTATGAGATCACATAAAAGAACGGACATCACAAAACGACTTGTATTATTTTAATTACGGGAAAAAATGGAGAATTGATAACAAAGTTGCTGCAAACGTATTTGGGGTTTTTTAAATTTATAACTATCAGTGTTTATTGTGCTTATATTATTAAAGCCAGTCGACAAATTCCATTCAATGCCTAAAATCCAATATTAATATTTGGCAACACAGACCAGGAATCAACAATTCGTAGCAGTTATCAAGAATTGCCGGAAATTCGAAAAGAAAAAGCAAAGATCTTTCAATTGAAAACCGATAACTGATTTTCTTGTCAGAGTCATTTTCGAAGCTTTATAAATGGCGGTGAAAAGTTGAATAGCTCGTCATCTGAGAAACTCAAGTGAAAAGCTATCTCGCCATCCTTACTGCTCGATATTCATACCGCAAATTGCAAATTAATAATTTAATTAATTTAATTTAATGTTTTACGTTTTTTTCTATGATGTTCAAAACTAGTCATTATTCTAAAATAAAAGGCAATTTTAAATTGCTGCACTTATAAAAATATCGTACATTTATTATTTTTACGGTCAACTCATCAATTCTTCCTATGAAATCCCATGGGAAAACTTTGTGTAGACAACTACTGGAGAGTTCCAAACATTTCTGTTATTTTTTAAGAAATAATAGTAATAAATGATTAAGCTAAATAGTTCAAACCATTTGAGAAGAGCTGAAGCGGAAAAGATAGATTTCTTACTTTTTTTACGGACTTCCTGAAAATTTTTTATAACAATATTTGTTTCAGAATGAAATTGAACTGATAATGAATGGGTATTTTGTAAAAATTCACATTTCAAAGAAATTTTACAAGATTAGAATTGTACTAACAATTTTCATGTAAATGGGTGAATTAACAAATCTTATCCAATTTCATTTTTTTTAATGGGAAACTATAGGACGTAATATTGTTAATGTGATCTGAGAAGCAAATTGATTGGTAAATAATTAAGAAAAAAGGAAAAGTATTGAGCATGTGAGTAATGTAATAACTGCCGAAATTCCACGAAAATGTAAATATTTGTTTTTTAAATTAGGCCAAAAAGCTAATAAATGAGCGATGGCTGCAAGTCAGCACCTCTCCCCCAAGCATAATTGAAAGAAATACAAAATTTTGTGGAAACAGAGGATATGAATAAGGCATAGGGACATTATGATGGCTAATAGGACAAAAAAATCGAAAATTCGAAAAAATTGATTCAAGAAATGAATTAGATAGAAAAGCCTTTCAAATCTCTCATTCTCTCCTCCTTGCTTTCTCTTCTGTGTTTCAAAGACGTCTGTCTTTTTTGAGAACTTTTTTAAAATGATGCGATAATGAAGTGAAGTTCAATTTGAATGCGCAATGCACTGCAGAAAATGAAGAAGGTAATGAAAATGAGTATGGGAAGGAGCGGAAGTATTGCTTTTTGACGACTTCATTAAAGCAGAGGGAAAGGAAGGGTGGAATGACAGAAGAACAGCTAAAAACACACATTTCGAGAATGCTGTAAAATTGCATCTCAAGTCAATTACAAAGCCACCGTGAAAATAATCAGAAGAATATCTCATACGGTTGATCAAATACCATTGACAGTAATGATTTTATGGAACTTCTTAAATCATGTTAGCGAGAGAAATCAAAATAAAGCACTAAAATTAAAGTTCCTACTCTCTTCCAATTAAAAAACTTTAAAAGAGAGCTCAGGAACTGCAAGAGCTTAAAAAAGAAAAAGATCAAATTAAAAAATGCGTGGCAAAATTGAGAAAATTGTTATGCGCCATAAAATGCGTTCTTTTCTTGCTTGCGCCCTCATCACACTTGTAATTTAATGTCGGCCACAAAACGTAAGTTGAATCTTCAGTAAATTTGGCTTGCACTGATTGACTGTTCACTGAGGTAACGGCCCATCACCTCTGAAAGGACAGCACGAGACTGCAAGATATCAATGCTGAAACGCTTCTAAAAACTTCAACAAAATTAATTCATCAGTTATTTTATTCTATCTAATAAAAGACAAATGCAAAATCCATTTACATATTCAGAATAAAAGAAACAACAGGAAATTATAATGCAACAGAATGAAATAGTTCGAAAAACAAAGTAAAGCAAATTTCAAAAAAGGTAGGGTGAGCGAAAGTGAATTACAAGAGTTGTTCATGTGGAAATAAAGAATAACATTTTATGATATAAGTAAGGTGCAATGAGCAATAACATATTGCAAATAGCATAACAACAGTTTTATCCAAATGAAAGCTATCCTTTGAAGAGCAGGAGGGTCTAATTCATGGTTCGGAATCTTGTTAGAATATTGGTTATAAGGCTGTTTTAAGATCGGTCAAAGATCTTTTACTGGTTTGTCAACGATTTAGATGAAATGCTAATCCCAAACTAAAAAGGGAATTAAACGTAAGTGAATGATGTCTTCAGGAACGAAATATTTTCAATAAGAGTACCTTCGTAAAAGATCTGTTTCATGAATAGATAGAATTTAATTTTAATCTATATCGCTTTTATTTTATCAACAACCATTTCAAACTGGAAGATATCCTTAAATAAAAACTAAACATAATTCAGCGGTATAAAAACGATTAGTTTTCGTACAATTGATTTAAAATTATATGAGTTCTCAATTGTAAGATAGGATGTTGAATATGTTTCTCATATTATTCACATTGATTTAGTTCGATAGTTTGAAAAAAATTGCGGAGGAGAATTATAAAACTCTGAAGTTTTTTGTAATGTCTGGAGCCAGAAATTTTTAATTAGAATGACGGAACTTGTGAATATTTCTTGTCCTTTAATTTTTTGGATAGAAAATCAAAATTTATTTCTTGATGCTCAGAAATAAACCATTTAATTCAATTTATTAATAACTTACAGACCATTTCGTGTGTTGTATTGATAAAAGATTTGTTTCCAAGAAGAATTACGCCTTTTTAGGATGTTCTAAATCAAAATTGAGCAAAATAGAGATGAAGTAGTAGAATATTAGTAGTAGAATATTGATAGAAATCAATCGTGCCAAATTAAAAGTGCATTAATTTCTCGCTGTTTATGAAGAATGATACAAATACGAGCAGTAGTAGTTAGAAGTCAGTTCCAGCAAGGGATCAATCACAGTGTAGAGTAGCGCTACTTAAGTAATAACCTTCTTTGTGAAATGTAATAACTGAGGGTAATTGTCTGCAAAATCGAACGGTTTGAATATCAAACTATCACAGCTTTGGCGAATGAAAAAAATTAGCAGAAATGATTTCACAATTATTAGTGGAGTAGTCGGATAAGTCAGCGACGAGTAGCAAGGTACTCCAATAATGGTAAAGAATTTTTAAATAATATAAACTGCATTTTTTTTTCTGCATTGATTTTTAACTCCGATGAGCACAAAATACGGAAACTGCTGTGATACAATCTCAGAAGAGTAAAGTTCAAAAGGTCATAAGGCATCTCTAACAAACCACAGTCTTGCAGCTTTGCAGCAACACTAACACTAATTGCATAATATCTAAGGGATATTGTAGTGGCAATCATAAAATATGGCATTAAGTGCCCAAGGCCTCCTGCACCTACAATGACATGGTTCCACTGGAAGGCATATGAACGAGGAAATCTAAAGAGCGAAGTGTAAACAACATTTTTTAAACTAAAGACGAATAAAGTTCGAGCTAATTGAATAGCTTTTCAAGGCTACTACTGTTTGAGTCAGATCTGAGATCCAGAATTTTTATTTAAACTTTTGTTGTTTCAAAGAAAATATGACTGCCGAATAAAGCTTAAAGAAATCTTTGAAACTTACCTGAAAAATTACAGGCACTACTTTAGACTGATCTCAAATGGCTTTTACATAAGGTCCAATATCTCAGCACCACGTATTAAAATGGGTTAAGGCCTACAAAAAGTTGTTTTCTATAAGAGAATGAATTGGTTTCAGTCCAAAGTTTGTTGTTGAGCAAACTGCGCTTTTCTTTCTTCTCCTTATGAACTGCCATTTCGATGTTTCCCTCGTGAATTACTGCTTACCAAGTCAGTTTGTTTAGCTTCTGTTAGCAAAAATGTGCAGCTATTTAATATGTCTATTTAAGACGCCTTCTTTCAACTTCAATTTTTCTCCAATTTCAATCTATTATACTGAGTGATTAAATTGGAGTATTCATTGGTTAAGACATTTACACAAAGATAAATCGCAATAAATTTTAATTGCAGAAGTATCTTGTTAATTTGCAGAATTACTTGTTCGTCCATTATTTTTCTTTTCAGTGAATTCTCCTCATTCTCATTTTGTTTTAGTGAACTCAAACTTTATCCTTCATTCGTAGAGGAAATAAATTCGCCAATTGTACGAACTAAAAGTAATGCCCACTTTGAAATTGCATTCCTTCATTTTCGATATTCTCGACTCATCTGAGAAAAAGTTTCGTATTTTTTTTGTTTTAATTCAGCATTTTCTCAACAAAACATCCTTTATTGAAAGAGCACATTTTCATAAATCGATGGTGGATAAATGAAAAAGAAAAATAATATTATGCTGGTACTAATTAAAATAAAATCGTTAATGGAGAATCACTCTCATTATACCAGAAATATAAATTGATATATGTATATGCAACATTAGGTCTTAATATATTTTAGAGTGAACTGTGTGTTTTAGTGAAAGTTCGATATATTTGATAAATACCCAAATGTTCGTTCGAAGAACAAGAACTAACGACAAGAAACTTCGGTGTTATAAAGTGTATGTAGCAACAAAGGAAGCATTAAGTTGAAAGTTCTGCTTCAATCCGTCCTCTTTCAGAATTTTCAAGTACTTTGAATGCAAAAGATTTTTGATTCTGAAATTCTATCTCTCTGAAATTCCTTCCGTCAAAGCCTACAATGCAAACGAATTCGAAGATTTTATGCAGAAATAAAAATAAAAAACTAATAAAGTGATATGCGAACGCCAAAAAAATCTTCCAAATGCAATAAAAAATTTTTGAAGTTTGAAGACAGTAAGAATTTATATTATGCGTCTTGCATTTCCTGGAATGGTTATGATAAAATAGGTCGGGCCTGAGTTATCTTTATGCAAATTATAAACATTTCGCAATTATGAAATGGAAATATTATAAAAATTTTAAACTCCGTTTGGAGGTTAGAAATGAATAATGCAGAATTTTTTGAGTTAATAAAAGTGAATCATACAAATTGGTATTGCAGAAACATTGCTTAGTAGCTAATATCACTAAAGCATTTTGTTTGAATTCACTGCTAAAAAATGTCATTGCTGTTCGAAATGAAAAGTGCTATCAGTGATTCTCATTGATCGACAACGTCAATAATAGTAAATTAGTCCTTGTGTTTTTGGGAAATCCTTCCTCATTCTTTTGCATCCGATTTCTTCCTACTTATAATGTTGTCAACTTCAGCTTTAATTGCTTTAAACTAACACATTTTCATTGAATTTTGGCTGTTTCATTTTTTGAGCATTGAAGCATCTGTGAAAATAGCATGTGGTGCATGTGACACACAATTTTATTGTCCAACTTTGCTTAGATTAAAAATCCAAACCACCATGTCGATCCAACGTCATTCATCGCAACTAGTATCCGGCAATGCAACCGTGTAGAAGTCTGTTTAATGGTAAAATGTCAAGGGATACTTTTATGAACTAAGTTTTTAATAATTTCGATTTTTTGATCTTGAAGATCAACATATTCTTTACAGATTGCTACCTTACCATTCAAATTTTTATACTTCTAGCATAATATCCTATGATAGAAGCAGAAAATTAGATTTAAATCGTACAGAGATCATACATATTTCCGACACATACAAAAATATTTTTCTGGGATACAGGATCGATCTCTCAAGTCTTTTCTGCTAGTCTTCGAAAAAATTGCGCGGGTAATCTTGTTAGAGTACATGCGAGATCAGGAAGTCTAGAATGGATTCCCTTCAAGTGCAGGCAAGTATTTTTAGATCGATATACTGGGACCGAGTGGAATGGGAACGGATGTTACCAGATAACTAATAATATATCATATGATGAAACAGATTGATTAAAGCATGACAACAAGATGACAATAATAGGAATCGCATATGTGCAGATATATAAAAGAATATCGTTATAGATTTACAATACTTACTATATATTTTACGAAGGATCGCATTAATCGTGAATAAGAGCGATATTTTATGCGTCAGAAATGCTCACACTACACTACACCACGAGCGATGATGTGTTCCTCATCCAACAAGCATGTAAATGCGTAACTTGCAGATGGTAGATGCAAAATAGATGCTAAGCTAATGGAGAGCAGAATGGCGAGGAAGAGAATAAGTAATCACTTAATCACTGGAAGTTCCTCTTCTGTCATGCTGGAAATTCTACACCGACTCATCGTGAGCATTCCCACTTGGCCAATATGGATTAACGTAATCAAAATCGGGGAATTCATAGCCTTCAAGATTACGCAAAATGTCAATATCGCAAGCACTCATTTTGACTGATAGCTTTCTGAACTGTGAATCGAAATTCTCCGTCGATTCAGGACTCTTCTGCAGATTCAACCTTGTTAATATATTACCAAGATGATTTGTGATAAAATGATTCATGGTTGCGAGTAATTAATTTATCTGTTGACAAGTCATGCGGCAGCCAACTAGTTATTTAAATGATACCACTGCATTATCAAAATATTTGAGCTAACAACTTTCATAGCAGACAGAACAGACAGACCAACAAGTTATGCTTCCTTATATCTACAAATATTTACATTGAATTACGAGCTATTTTAACACTAACCATTGTTTTTATTTTCTAAACAGTGAAAATTTTTTAATTTTATAATCTAATAAATTTTTCAGAATTCAATACGAATGCTTAATGAGAAAGACTACGAAATCTTAGAATTGATTAAAATTTCTTCGCTATATTTCTAAATTTTGCTCGAAAACACTGTCAAGGTTTTTTAACAAGCAAATACTTACCAGTTTTGGTTTGAAAGGTGGTTGAACCTGTTGCCTTTCAATTTTATACCAATCAATTCGTCGAAAAAACGGATGCTCCTGAAAAAATTGATTGCAGTTTCATAGGGAAGTGCTACATTTCTTTCATGTTTACAACATAAAAAGTTAACAGTCGTTATTCGAAAATGATACTGTTAATCTGTTAGTGCTTCACTCAATAAATTTTAGCAACGAAAAGCATTGGAACTTTTGTTTTTCCAGAAATATGTAAAAAATTGATAATTCATGTTCCTCTACTAATCCATTAGACTGGAGAGGCGAACAATGATCAATCATTCATCTCAGCATTGAATACTTTCAAGATGCAACAAGGTCCTTCTCCTAAATTTTTTCGATTAGTTCTTGAAGATATTGTTAGGAGTACACCTACTTTAACATCTCTAATAGCCATCTGCCCACAACCTAGCCGCTTCTGAGGACTTTTTTGCAGCAATGCCTTACAAATTGACACTGCTTCCTTAGACATTGACTTCGGGTACGATACGTTGTGGTCTGTTATTGCTATAAGTATAATTTAAAAGACATAATTGGATATTTAAATCTTCTAAAATACACACCAGCAATGATCACAGTCAAATATTGTTTTAACTTAACGATCTTGCAGTACAATAGATGAATTAATTGTCGCTTAACTAAAATATATTTAATTTAATTCCAATATATTTTTCTGCTGCTTCCTACTTTTGAAAAATTCAATTAAATTTGATGCCTGCAAATAATTCATCTTCGTCTTCACCATCGAAAGGCGGTTGGCCAGCAAGCATTTCAAACAACAATACTCCATAGGCCCACCAATCAACCGACTTATTATACGGTTTATATAATATTATCTGAAAGGGTTCCGCATGGCAAAAATTTGATAAACTATGATCACAACCGGCAAAGCGAAGATTACAATCTGAGAATACGATTTTGTTTACTTTTCAGTTAGTGACAATCCCTCAGCGTTAAGGCTTATTAGCTGTGTTGAAATGTTACGTACTTCAGGAGCAATGTAGTCGGGTGTTCCACAAAACGTTTTTGTCTTTGCATTACCGATGATGTTTTCTTTACACATACCAAAATCCGTGATTTTAATGTGTCCACTTGTATCCAACATAACATTGTCCAGTTTGAGATCACGATAAATAATGCCTCGGGAATGAAGAAAAAATAAGCCAATTGCTATTTCAGCAGAATAAAATCTGTAACAACAGCCGTATGGTCTGCGATACAATCAAACATGTCTCAAATTTCTAAATCGAAGAACTAATAAAGCTGAAAAATTACAAATTTCATCTGGCATTCATGCTGATTTCTGATTAGCGCTTTAATTCAAATAAAAATTTCTACTACTCACGCAGCTACTGGCTCTTTGAACTTTCCCACTTGTTGTATTTGATACATAAGATCACCACCACTTACAAATTCCATTACAAAGTATAAACGATCCTGGAATAATCTTATTCTTTTCAAAAAAATATTTCCATACCACATTCGAAAATTCGATTAAAAAAGATTTAAAGGATGTAACTACGGGCAAAAGTGCTTATGTAATTTAATGTCAGGAAAATGTGAAAATAATGAATTGTTTATGGTGGGGTTCACACGCAAGTTCGAAAATAAATGGAAACGAAAAATATTTGAATTTCCAAATAAAAAAAGTGATGAATGGTAAATTGTTCGGTAAAGTAACTATCTAACTATCAGTCGAGGAAAAACAGAAATTTCACCGAAGTTTGGAAGCAGGAATGCAGAGCAACGAGAAAGGGTGGCTTGTCACAAAGTGATAGGACCCGCTTTTCTGTCATTGTACATCCCACATCATCATCCTGAACAATAACATCCTTTTTCAGTATCTTCACTGCGAATAGTTCTTTGCTGTCCTTATGCTCACCAAGCAATACCTAAAACAAACAGAAAGATGCAGTTTACTTCCTAATAATTGTGAAAGTTGAAAAAAGTAACCTTTCCAAATGATCCTTTTCCAAGCACAGATAGAAAATTAAAATCAGTAGCTTTGACAGCATTTTGTTGTGGTTGTTTCAATTGAGATTGAGATCGTACTGGCCACTGCTGAAGATAGATTTTCAGATTCAATTATTCAATGTAGAATTTGAATACAAGTAATTTTTACAAATGTAATTTTTCATCTTCTTCTCTGTTATGTTACTTATCATTTGTCATTGCGAGTTGACAACCGTTGAACAAATTTTGCCCGCAATAGCTAACTCACTTTGACGATAGAAATCAGGAAAAGATCAAATTATTGTTCGCTTCAATTGCATCTAGCAATGTTGCTTCGAAATTTCCTCGTTTTTACTTTTTTGCAAAGATTAAATTCCGGTTTAATCAGTTTTTCATTACCAATCAATCCCTATATTTTTGAAAAATCACTAGTTTTCATTCTTTGAAATTCCAAACTTCAAATTTTAAAAATTACATTCACTTAAGCTCCACACGGCAACAACAATTTAAAAAAGTATATATGTGAATCTGAAAGCTATATTTCGACTTCACCTTTTCCTGATGTATGTTCATTCCATCAATTTTATTCTTGATTTTTTCAATTTCAGCTTCAGATTCAGGCGCAACTTTTATGCTGTAGAATTCTCCTTCTTCCTGGAATCTTGCTTATTATTAAACTCTTCTGAGTGCTAAATAGATGTAAGATCATATAAATATAAATTGTGTAATGAATTGTAGAGAAAAGAGTGATTATTGGAAAAGCAAGTTATTAAAAAACTCACTGCGCTAAGGAGTTTGTACCAACCCTCAACGGATTCCTTCATCAGCTCACTAATGCCAAATGAAAGAGAACCCATAAAATCGTTCCTGGAAGTACGATCCCAATCCCAAACTTCTACAGATAATCTTCTATCAGCATCTGTTGTTTCCAGTTTGCTAAAATTTGATTCGAAATTATATCTAAATGTCTAATATTTAAGAATATGAATTGCTTAGACAAGAAAACATGCGCCAAAATTTGCCGAATGGTAAACAATGATTGTTATTCCAATTCATAATCATAAATAGAAGAATTGTCTAATGGATTTGAACCACAAGGTAAAATAAATAACAATTCTTACTATTCAAAACATTCGTTCCACACTGGATTTAAGGTAGATCTAATTGTTTTACTTTTCTTTTTGGATTTTGAAGACTGGTCATCGGGTATCAGTTTCAACTTGCAGTAAGGATCGGAAAGGCCATTTGGATCCATAGGTATTAAATTACGCGCCTCATGCACTGGAACCACACATAATTGAAAACATCCTATCTTATATGAATATGAATAGATAAGTGGATGAGACCATTTTTACAGCTGCAACCATCTAATTGCAATCATAATATTTGTGCATGTCATTCTAATTCAGTCGCAATGAAATATATCAGTATTGTTTTAGTTTCATTATCACACGTGAACAATGGCTCTCGCTGAGATTATTCCTTATTGAAAAGTTTAGCAAGCAAAAGATGAGAATATTAAAAGTGCTCAAATGTAAACGTCGAACAAACGACCATGGTTTGTCACCTGTTATCATTAACGTCCGCTCCCGTCTTTGAACTTATTCCATCAAAACCAAAATGCAACCAACTCCCACTTGCTTTCATAATATTTCCGACGTATAGTAAGGCATACTCCCCTTTATTTTTTTACTTGTTTTTTTTTTTTCAAATGGCCGTTTTCTTATCTGAATATCATTGATTGATTCCCTATGAGATAATTTGAACTGAATGCGGAACATCAAAGTCACCAAAGGATGAATCAACGCTTAATGCATGCATATCATTCTGCCATCTATTATTGCTGCA